GACATTCATTAGGAGTTCGCCATGTTATTTTTTTGGTATTTTCATGATAAATGAGGAACAAAATTCAGGATTATTGAATATTTTAATGTGCGGAAATTCTAAGTGATTAATAATTAGAACTGGATAAAATAGTTTTGAAAATGTGGAATCACAATAATTATATTTTAGTGACACATAATAATTTAAATTGATTAAGGCGAAATCATAATATAATTAATCATTAAAACTTTGTCCATATTTTCTTCTAGGTCCCTATTGTAGCGTATTAGATATCTTCAATCAAGGAATTGGAGAGAATTACAAATTTTGTAGCTATAGAATTTTAAATGTATCGGATAAGAAACTCTTTTAGACTAACAACTAGTAACTCACCCGTGCGATGCACGGGGATCAGTTCTAAGTACAATTGTTTTAATAACAATACACGTCGATGAGATAACTCAAACACTTTTATGAAAGAAAAGCGAATGATAATGCGATGCGTAAGGGTAATATAAAAAATAAAAATATGTTTAAGATAAAATACTCGAACGAAAACTTTGAATAGTTGATATATAATATGATATAATCTAATTTTTTTTAAACAATAGCAATTCCATTTGATTTAAATACTGATACAAATAAAATAAATAATAAATGAAAATATAAAATACAAAATTATGATATAAAAGATAAGATATATTATCTGACTCAAATGGTACAACTATCTCTTCCAATACTCTCGGATCCTTAACATAAGCTTAATACTAATACTAATACTAATACTAATACTAAGAGTAACACATTACCAATACCAATACTAATACTAATACTAATACTAATACTAATACTAATACTAATACTAATACTAATACTAATACTAATACTAATACTAACAAATTACTAATACTAATACTAATACTAATACTGATACTAACACAATACTAATACTAATACTAATACTAATACTAATATTAATACTAATATTAATACTAATAGTAATACTAATACTAATACTAATACTATACTAATACTAATACTAATACTAATAATATTACTAATACTAATACTAATACTTATACTAATACTAACTAATACAAATACAAACACTAATACTAATAATAACTAATACAAATACAAATACTAATACTAATAATAATACTAATACTAATACTAATACTATACTAATACGATTACTAATACTAATACTAATATTACCTGCTAATGTTAATACTAAGCTACTGTTAATTCTAATATGCTAATGTTAATGACAATGACAATCATAATCCTAATATACTAATGATAATGCTAATCGTAGTCCAAATTCTAATAATCATAATCTTGATCCTAATCATTATCTTAATTCTAATGCTAATATTAATCGTAATCATAGTTATATTCTTAAACATAATCATAATCATAATCTTAATCTTAATATTAGTACTAATCATAATCGTAGTTCTAATATTAATTATAATCATAATCATAGCTTAATCTTAATCTTAATATTAGTACTAATCATCATCGTTTTTCTAATACTAATTATAATAATAATCATAATACTAATACTAATGCTAATTCTGGTCATAATATGCTAAGGTTAATTCTAATTCTAATATGCCAATGTTAATCTTAATATTAATGCTAATTATAATATGCTAATGTAATGTTAACGCTAATACTAATGCGAATGCTAATTATAATATAATCATAGTCCAAATACTAATTATAATACTAATGGTAATGTTAATGGTAATACTAATGTTAATGATAAATGCTGGTGTTAGTGTTAATGCTGACGCGAATATTAATACTAATATGCTAATGCTTATGTTAATACTAATACGCTAATGCTAATGTTAATACTAAGTTAATGTAAATCCTAATGTATTAATGATAGTCTTAATCCTAACATGCTAGTGCTAATTCTTATTGTTGGGTATCCGCCCGGAGAAGACAAACCACACAAAATCAAAATACTCATATTTTATTAGAAACAATTAAAATATAATATAATATAATAAATCAACACAATTAATTAATAATTAAATTAATGACATCAATTTATAATGGCAACAATCAGCAACAAACGACGGCAGCCATCAATCAACAATCAGCAAAACCAACAATGAGCAACAATTAATAATAACCAGAATGCAACAGTTTCAAATTAATAAATTTGCAAAACATTAAAGACAAAAATAATTCGTAGAGATAGAATAGAATAACCAGAAGCAAATCACACAGATTTGCTGGGAAGAAATCCTCCGACGGCTGCTCCGGCGAGGTTCGATTTTCCAGCACAGTTCTCAATCTCCGAGTCCTCGTCCAAGATCCAAGTGGGGCCTCCAAACACTCACGGCAGCCACACACACGCACACACACAGTGTATTCCAACGAAAAAGAAAGAAAACGAAAACCCAAATTCAAACCCTAATCTCACCGGTTTATCCCTAAAGAAGTAAGCTCGAATTCATCGAAAATAATCGAGCTTTTCTTCTCAAAAAAGGTTCTCTCTTTCACTCAATTTTTCCCTCTCAAAATACACGAAGTATTCTCCACTTTTCTCAACTCTATTTTTTCTCTCGTTTTTTGTCTCTCACACAGAAAAAGAAAAGGGTGCACTTATACGCCCAAATCATTTACCAAACTCACGAAGAATTAGGTAACAAATCACCAAGATTTGTTGAGAGAAAAAATGGGCAGATTTGAATAATCAATCTGCTGTAAAACAAAAACACCGAGATAAAAAAAAGGTCAAGAGAGAGTAAAAGGGAAAACCTAGTGAGATTGGGCTGATTTTAATTTTGGGCTCAAATTGTGTGGGCTGCTCGTAAGTGGGTTGCAAGGTGGAATTTTAATGGGCCATTCACAAAGAATTCATTTGGGCCACATACTCTACACTTATCCAAAGTCTAATAATCATAATCCTAATCTTAATTATAATGCTACTGTTAATTCTATTCTGAAACTTAATTATAATCCTAATACCAATACTAATCATATTATAATCCTAATCTTATACCTAATACTAATACTAATGTTAAGCACCTTCTGGAAATTGAGAGTAACCTGCAAATATTTATACTAATAAGTTACATTGGAAGTATTTATACTTATTTTTTGATGCATAAAAAAGTTAATAATAAGTTATTAAGAAAACACTTTGAATTTAATATTCTTAAACTATAATTAAATAAATCCTCTAATACATAACATATGAATTAAAATCAAAATAAATCTTAACAAACCGTGCATATATTTATAAACTTTATTTCCATTATTTAACAAAGTAATGTATGTGAAAATCGATTTTCCTGCTATTAACAATGTTTACATTTGAACTGTTATTAAAATATATATATAATATAAAAAGAGGGTTTATGTCGCGTCCTCTATGAATGATATGCGGAAGTATGGTAGATGTTTATGTCATACCCTCCAAATTGCTTAATTAAAGTTCAATTGATGATGTGTATTCTTCAATTGATTAGTTGACCTTTTAATTTTGGTATATGTTTAACTTATTTTCTATTTAACACTAGTATTCACCCGTGCGATGCACGGGGCGACATATTTCTAACTGAAAATACATGTCTCAAAAACAAATTTACGCATATATCAATTATCACGGTCACCGAATTTAAGTACATAACGTAATCGACCAACAATAATAAAAATATGTTATAAGTGTCATGTTCTTCATAGTTATGATATAAGAATACTATTAAATAGTAATATATCGTCAAAAACAAATCTTAAAGATAATAAGAATTGCACCGAGCACCCTAGGGAAATGACTGAAAATAACATCGCACCGGGGAAAATATATAGATAAGAAACACATGCAAAAGAATAAGTTCTTTAAAACTAAAATAAAAAACATGTTACATGAATAAATGATGAATATGAAAATATTTTCTACCTTCAAATTCGATGAAATACTTCCTTGTACACGACATTTCTAGTAACATTGGTGAGTTCACCCGAATCCGACTTGATGAATATCTTAATGCCACCTCTGCTCTTAACTCTGGACACTGCAACATATAGTTGACCATGGCTGAAGACAGGCCTAGGAAGATACAAACCAACATGCGAAAGAGTTTGGCCTTGGCTTTTATTTATCGTCATTGCAAAAGAAACAATCAACGGAAATTGTCTTCTCTGAAATTTAATTGGCAGTCCGGAGTTAGATGGTATTAAAGTCATCCGAGGAATGAACACCATGTCACCGATATTTTTTCCGGAAAGAATTTTGCAACTAAGAACGTGAATGCCAGTTCTAATAATTTGAAGTCTGGTACCGTTGCACAATCCTCTAGCTTGATCGATGTTTCTTATTAGCATAACGGGTGCACCAACCTTGATCCTCAACGCATGAGAAGGAACTCCGGAGCATCTTATTGTGTTGAGGAATTCAGTCGAATAAATTTCTGCATTATCCTCCGTTGTGTGCTCGTCCCTACACATACTATTTGAGCTCAGGTACACCTTCTCCTCTCCTGGAAGGAGAGACATTAAGTGATCGTTCACAGACTCGACGCATTCATTAGTTGGTGCAAGAATTGCCCTCCCTTGAAAATAATCTCGATCGTACATGTTACTCAACAAATCCGGGTAAACGAATTCGAGTAAGTCTCTGAATGGATCTTCTGAATCACCAATCAACATGTCATCTGGAATCTCTATCGAAGCTTCACCATCATTGTCTTCCCCAACATCCCCATTACCAACATTCAGTATCCAGTCTCCAAATTCTTTTATCTCATCCACATTAGATGGAGAAGAGCATGACTGCAATCTCATGTTCTTAGTCAACTTCATGACACGACAGAAATTCCACAGCGGAGAGGAGTTTATCATAGCATGTACTATGTCCTGCCTTGATGCTTTGAGCACAACTGGTAAAATCTGCCTAAAATCACCTCCAAGAACAACCACCTTACCACCAAAGGGTTTGTCAGCCTGTAATATTGACTTAATTGTCTTGTCAAGGGCTTGAAAACAGTATCTATGCATCATAGGAGCCTCGTCCCATATAATAAGTTTTGCCCTTATGAGCAACTCTGCCTGTGGACTTTGTTGCGATATACTGCAGGTGGAACTCTCATGTACATTTATGGGTAGTCCGAATCGAGAATGAGCTGTTCTTCCACCGGGGAACAATAACGATGCTATACCACTCGATGCAACGTTAATTACAATCTCTCCCTTCGAACGAACTGCAGCCGAAAGAGTTTTCCATAGAAACGTCTTTCCCGTTCCACCATGGCCATATAGAAAGAACATTCCACCACTGTCATTGGTTACTGCATCCATGACTACATCATAAACCTTTCTTTGCTCATCTGTAATGGAAGCAAGACACTGTTGAAGTTCTCTACCCATTTCAAACCGGTCGTAATCCAGTTCATCTAACACCAATATGTTTTCTGTGTCCTCATATGAGTATTCGATTGGAACTGGCATAGGCGCGTAATTTTGCAGGCTTTTACCATTGCTTTGCAATATTTTTTCTATTTCGGTGAGAGTATAGTTCTTCAAGCTTTCATCCGATATATGTAAATCTTCAACAATAAAAAAATGGATAAATTATGTGCATCTAGTTGAAATCGTACAGAGACAATATTAAAAGAATGATTAATACGTAAAATCTAATTGAATACAATGCCATACAAATTGCCATACCTGGATTTTTATGAAGACGTTGTTGTTTGTAAGCAATACCCTCAGCCAAATCCAACCAACAACTTTGCCAAACATGTTCGGGCCGACTTAAGCTATTGGAAAGCAGCATAACCGCAAATAACCTTCTTATATAATCCCCCGATGCCCAAGTATTCACTTCTTTTATTGCATCTATGTATTCTTTGTCGTCATCTAGCAAACCCAACACATAACATGCATCCCTGAACGTAGGGTAGACGATGTCAAAAACTTTTCTGATGTCCTCGTAGCACGTGCATCCCCTTTGAATGTTAAGTAGCAACCTAAGGTAATAGTCTTCCCCCTTTCCAGGGGGAACATTCGCAATCCTACCGATAGAAAATCCTTTTTTCCTTGGTGCCCAAGTTCGAGAATCCTCTTTATACACAAATTGTTGTGGAAAATCTCCGTACCTCAAGTCCCTTGCATGTGGATAGTTCTTGTTGGCCTCAAACCACGCCAGGAACATAGTTTGCTTGACAGATGGCCTATCCAACACACTTTGTAACGACTGGTTTTCATTGAAGACAATTGGCTGATGATCGGGGAGATGAAAGCTTAGCCTAATTACGGACGGGTCTCTGTAATGAATATCAAAGTTAAACAACCTCCACATTGCCTCACACGCCGAAAGATATCTGCAGTCGTAGTACATCTTTATCTCATCACGAATCTCAGCACCGCCATCTGTATTGCGTGTCTCATAAAATGCCGCTGTGACTCGGTCATGCCCCTTGTTTACGTATTTGAACAGGTATTTAATTGACTTGTTTTGGTTGCATAGATCGATATTAATGTGAGCTCGGTATTTACTCAACAATATACGATTGTAGGGGACCACAAACCCATTATCAAGAGCAGTCTTCTTCTTCGTAACTGTTCTGCCATCTTCCCTTCTCCTATACACTGTAAACCCATCTGCATCTGATTCAGTGCGCTGCACAAATGGCTTTGGAAATCGTTTCGTGCAAACTCTATCTTTCATACATGGAGATTTCAAATTCGCCTGACCGCACGGTCCATGTATCATATACTTCTCCACCAACTGGTACATCTTTCTGTCGTTTTCTTCGTCAGGAATTTCAGCACATATGATCCTGTCAATTTCTTCTGGATTCTTTTGCTTGTCGTCATTATGCAACCACAATAAAATATGTGCATGCGGTAGACCTCGTTTCTGAAATTCAATTGTGCAGACATCTGCATAAAAAATGTAAACATACGGTATTAAAAAATATGAATTAATTTAGTTAATGAAGCAAAAAGTAGTTAAACTCGCACATGACTAAATTATCTAATTTATATAAACGTATTAAATGTTTAATTATAAATGGATATCTAATTAAATACTCACATGCTCTAATACGTCCGAATATACAGCCCTTCTTGATTTCCGTCATCATACTATCGAGCTTCATTTTGAACACACGACACAGAATGTCTGGCCGATCCTCCGGCCTGAGATTTGTATCTTTTAACACCCTTTGTATTTCTGGCCATTGGGGATTGCATGTGATGGTGATGAAGAGGGTTGGAAATCCAATCCAGTTACATATTTGAAGAGCATCAACGAAGTTGTTAAACATATACCTTGGACCTGCGGTGAACGACCCTGGAATTATAATGCGTTGTCCAACAGATTTACCCTCAGTGTCTCCTTTAAAAATCTTTTCTTCGATACCCTTGTACATGTCAACCCTAAGTTGATCCTGATTGAACCTTATGAAATTCAACCTCTGTGACTCAACCATCGAAAATCCATCAACACAGAACTGCTGAAATAACTTCTTGGAATGCAAAAGTAACGAATGTTCTCCATGCCGTTTCTGAATTAGGTATGCAAAGAATTCTCGCATGCTTATCTTCCTTCGTTTTCTATTATCAGCAAATGAAGATTCTCTCAAACTGATATCGTCTCGATAACCATCTTCACCGTAAGGAAATAAAAGAGGATACTGTAGAGGCAAGTAAAGAGGATGGAGCTCACTGATTCGTTGCAGCTTATTTGAGCGCGTCTCAACTACAATATCCCTGACACCCTCTTGTGTGTCAAAGTCACCAACGATCAAGCCTGCTATTTCACTTGCGTTAGGAAGATTGTACGTCCTGCCATCAGTACTGCGACTCTTTACCAATCTGAGTTTTACTCCTTGATGGCCATCATTGGAAAAACGATCTTGAACAGCACGGTAATGTTGTGCAAGTACATTGTTACCGTCAATCATATCTTTCAACGATGCAACGATGGCTGGGTCAAGATTGTTAGATTGATTTTCGGACCTGTGAAATAAAAAATAATGTAATTATAATTTGTAAGCTCTATATTCCTTAGAACATGAATATAATTCCGAAAAATTTACCTGACGGCATCAATTCGATTCTGAATCTCATTTTCTGTGTCGAAAATGTAAAGTTGGGCAAACTTAGGCCTAGTGCCTTCTTCCGGCAATAAACTGCCCAGTAGATGGTAATTATGTCCGTGTAACAGAAATGTGTATGGACCAGATCCGTTATTAATAGATGTCTGCACTTTTCCACCAAGCGACGTGAAAGAAAACATCATATTATACGATCGTACGTTCTCTTGGAAATGTTTGCTGCTCCGATCAGTGCCAAACACTAAATTGTTAAGTGTAGGAGGTGCATCTCTTATTTTTGGGAGCTGGACTTTCCCGGACATACAACATAAGCCAAATTTGGGCCTGGATGTTTGTCTATGCTTGTCACTTCTTTCACCGTACCACATCATTGAACCACAAAAAGGACATTCATACGTCTGGTCTCCAAGATCTTCATAATCTATCCAAAATTAACTAAATAATATTATTCATCTAAAAAAATGTAATAAATTTATATAATTAGTAATGTTAAGATTAAAAGTTGTTAGATTAAAATAATATTTACCAGTATCGTCAACTGCATCGTCACTATTCTCATCGTTGGAAACATATTCAGAATCTACATTTATGAACAAAAAATTATCATTACAGTAGAAAAATATACTGACAAATAACGCATAGCAATGAGATACGTTATTAGATGATGACAAAGATAATTACCTCCGCTGTCGGAAGAATTGTCTCTTAACGTCTGTAAATCCTCATCTACCAACATAGCGGGTACTGATGTCATAACCAACATACGTGTTACAGAGTCAATTGTTTTATGACTCCTAGCCATCTTCTTTCCATTCCGCACGGTACAACTAACATAATAGTAAACATTCAGCTTCTATAGAAATGAAAGAAAAAACAGGAATATTGTCTACATGTATTGCACACTTAATCATTTAATAAAACATAAAATTAGTCCTAGAAAATAAGATCGCACCTTTTATTTGATTCATAATAAGATTTTGTAACTTGTAAATGATCTTCACACGATGTAGATACACCATTGCGACAGTACTCAACGTCATCTGTTTTAATAACAACATAACTTCTTTATTATAAAATTCATTTATTTATAATTATTTAGCAATAATTGTACAAAGATAACAATATTAACGTCTAACATAGCATCGACACCACAATTACTCCCCATTTAATTAATGCCACTTGTTTTTTATTGCTAAAAAAAATACTTGATATAATACCTTTCTTTTTCTTAGTCAATTTTTCTGTATATGTTGGAAATGATTTTTTTCGTACACTATTGACAGCATCTGTGGAAGGATATTGGGAGAACAAAATTTAGTTAGTTATGACCAATACGAAATAATGACGGTAAAAAAATACTATAAGATCGAGCAGTTTGTGATATTCGTATTTAAAGTTAAATTAAATACTAACCAATTGAACGATTAGTTGTAGTATAACTCGATTGGGTTTGATCCATGTTCACTCGATTTGAAGGATCACCTAGCAATTTTGTTTGTTTAGGAATAATACCTTTAGCCTTTTCTTTTGCAACATGTTCCAAAGATGAGTGCGGACTTCCATATACTGTGGTATACACATTAAAACCGTAGATATTAATTATATGTGGAAATATATATATATATATATATATATATATATATATATATATATATATATATATATATATATATATATATATATATATATATATATATATATATATATATATATATATATATATATATATATATATATATCTATATATATATATATGTATATGTATATATTCATTTATACCTTTCTATATAAGTGCATACGTGCGTGCGTGATAATATATATGAATAAACACGCGATTAACCCTTATATAGTGAAAGAGCGTACCATTGTATATGTCTGTTAGAACGCCGCTATCCCGCTTTCTAACAAGATTAATTCCCTTGAAGGCGTCT